GGAGTCTGTCTCAAAATGGTAGTTTTTTTCTGCCGATGTGGCAGCAACTACCGGCCGGAGGTCGGCCGGACATCGGAAGGAATACGGCCGGTACCCGAGCAGGTAACAGGACACCGTGCGATCGCCGGCCGGGTTGTTAACGGGCTTTGAACAGTGACCGGCCGATGCTCTGTCCCACATCGGCCGGAGCTCGGTCGGAGCTCGGCCGCTGTCCGTTAAAAAACCTCGTCCTCTGGTTGTCTCAGATGCACGGGACACCGGCCGATACTCCGGCCGACGTGTTTTCCGATGTGGTTACGATGGGGCTGCGATGACATGATGAGGGAGCTCGGTGAGAGCCCGGTGAAATTTAACTCCGAAGTTAAAATTTCACCGAGCTACCACCGATGCGGTTTTAAGCAACAAACGCCACGGATGTCCGGCCGGTGTCCGGCCGAGTTCGGTGAAAATTGCATCGCTGGCTCATCGTAACCTCATCGGCCGGGCTATGTGACTAGGCCATAAACTGTGAATTTTGAGAAAAATCTACAGAAATTTGCAAATGTTATTTGAAAACATCTTCAAATGGAAAAACTAGCATCTTTGTTCTATATTTTTGAATACATCTGGTAAATGTCACAGGCTAATTATATTTCACATGATGCGGAAGAATATATAACAGAAACAAAAATGATGTCGAGTCAGTGGGAATTTTGCCTTTATATACCTAACAAAGGCATCCCTAGAAGTCACGTAACACTTTGGTTAATGATGTTAACATGAAATGATTAAACAATGCAATAATAAGATTGAGTTACTTAATCATTCATGAATATCTGTTCCATGTAATCCTTGCACCATTCAGACTATATACAAATTATATATACAGTATACACAGATACAGAAATAATTCAGAAATTTTAATTAGATAAAACCTAACCCATAATCTGGCTATTATATCTAATACAATATATACAGTAACACTGTATGAAGCACAACCCCAGAATATGAAGCTTACCGATATTCATTTCGAGTTCTAATTTCATATTGACCATTTTTCACACAAAATTCCAGAATTTAGATTGCCAAATGGACTGCTGGACTGGATAACTGCAGAATTTCAGGTTTCTGAAAATAAGGTTTCAAATTAAACTTTACTTGCAGAATTTTAACAGAATTTTTTATTTCCTTGGGTTCACAAAATTAAAGCATACCTGAGCAAATTTTTCTCAAAAATTCACTTACTTTTGCAGCTTGTCCTCAATAAATGGTAGTTTTTAGGGAATTTTCATCTTAAAACACTTACTGGAAATAACCAGAATACTGGATTGCGTGATATTTCTCTGGGACTGTGACTCAAATTTTACAGACATAATACCAGTTATCACATGAAATTATTCCACGAAGGGTAACATTGTATCATCCACAAAAGCAAAAACATTAGCTGAAATGTGTGATGACGATTTTATCACATATCTAGGAGTTTTTAAGCATTTTAATTTGGTCAGTTGTGATAATCAGTTGTCTGCCCTGGTTATTCCGATGCTGTTTAAAACTGCATTATATTATGTGTTTTTTGAAATTTCGCCTTGAAATAATATGATGTCATAACTGTAGTTGTCGTCGTACTTGTCTGTGAAATAATATGTCTTCAGTTATGAAGTGCTATAAACAGCGAAATCATATTGTTACTATTGACTCTGTAGTGATACAGTTCACCATATCAGATGAAAATTACTCATGTGCCATCTGATACAGAATATGCATCATCACAATTGACCAATCAAAATGCTTCGAAACTCCTTACCATGTGATAATATGTAATACTCTTTACAATACTGTATACCCTAATTCCAATGGAAGAACTATACTCTAAAATTACTCTATAGCAGAAAAAACATCTCAATGCTAATATTAGAAAAAACTAAATGGGGAGATTGTAGACTTAAACTGTAGACAACAAAATCACATTTTGAGGTTTCACCATGGAAAGGTGTTCACATATACATGTTTAGCTGTATTGTTGTCAAAAGTAAATGATACCTGTATAAATTCTGGCAAAATACAATAGTCCTGAAAATTACAAAATTATGTTTTATCAAAAGGTCTGTAAAATTACCTTTTAAATATCCATTGGTACCAAAATAGCCAGTAACCTTTCGAAGACTAAAAATGACAAAATATTTCCAGCTGCTACTTTCAGTCAATCACTGATATTGCGTGGTACATTTTTAATCATTATATCTGTGATTCAAACATTTTCCTCTTTTTACTGAATTCTATAACTGGTCTTAGCGAATATATGTCACTCATGAACAGCAGTACCTTTTCAACAACTTTATATTATATTAGAACCATGTCAAATATAAGAGCAGACTTTTTATGTTTCTTGTCTTCTATACAATCAAATTTTTAAAACAATACACAGGTGATATTTTTATTAATTATATTGTGGATCTACTCTTGTCTGCATTACCAGTTCATCCATGGATTAAAAAGTTAATATACAAGTACATGGCTGCATTTTATTAACACTTCTTAAATACTTTTAAATTGTCATCTCTACCCCATCAATAATGCAGATCATGAATAAGCAATTTATTACTTTTGTTCATAAGTTCAACACAGTTTTTACAGTCCTGTATAAAAGCATTTTTGGATTTGGCATCATATTTCAAAATATTAAGATCTAAGATGTTTTTGCTGTAAGAAATATTGCACTCTCTGTATTTGTGTTTGACTAGACTTGGTATTCTTGCATAACCACACGATTACCAGCATTTTGCAAGATCAATATTAAGTACATGAACATATTTAAGTAATTGTATTGATAAGTCATTTTTGCTGTCATCTTAGTCCTATTTTGCATTGCTTTTGATGTCCAAATAGGAAACATTACCCTCAAAATTATGCATTGCATTTAATACAAATTTGCAATACATGTACATCATTACTCCTCCGCAATACTGCTGTGGCATTGCCCTCACAATATCTTTCTGTATCACTCTTATAATATCTCTCCTCCATTGCCCTCAATACTATTCAATATCTTATATTTCAGACACCTACTTCTGACACGACCTGATGTTTTTCATCCATGAATATCAAATATGCCTTACAACTTACATTAACATACACATTGGCTTCTTATCTTGCCATATTGATAGGTTTGTTATGTAAACAAAGAACAATGTTTTGTCTACACACAATGACAAGAATAAATTATGTGAGGCTTGGGAAATAAATAAAATGTTTCTAGATCTGTTTTTTTTTTAAATTACATAATAAAAAAGCTCCATGGAGCATTAATGGAGAATAACTCATGTTTCGACGCTGTTTCAGTATTTTGAATGAAGAAGAAATTGTTTTAAGACGTATAATAATTCTCCAAATTTTGAGATAATTGAAAAGCTATATTCCCTGTCCATCTTCAAATATGAAATAATGTAAATCATTGAATTTAATTGCTTTAGCCATACTTCATGGTGGGCCTCTACAATTGAGAAATAATATGATGATCTTTCAAGTAATATAAAACAATTCCTATGATGTTTTGGCTGCAGAGTAGACATGTACTTGTAAACATGAACATAAGAATTACTATATTGATAGTTTTGCACAAGAAGTGATACATCATGGCATAAAGGAGACCAATCACTGGTTGGGATTATATATGGGTTTTATCTTGAGGAATGATATAATATTGAAGGTACATTTGGTCAGATATCATATCATTCCTCAAGATAAAATCCATTTACAATCCCTTCCTGCAATTAACCTATATAAGTTGAAAGATTAGTTCTGTCCATCTTATTTCAACAAGTTATCTCTAGATTTATATCCCTGGATTTATATTTCCCCATGAAGTAAATTAGCCATACACTTCTGTATATCATTGTTCATCGAAAGAACAGATTTCTTTCTGATTACATAACAAACCAAAGGTACCGCTTTGAATTATTTAAATTTGTTTCTAGTTTTTGTCAAAATAACTTTATGTTTTTACATCTTTTGTCCAGAATAGTTCTTTTTAGGAAATATCTATTTTCAAAATCACATATAACTGGTTCATGGTTCAATTAGTTGTGGTGTAAAATACATTATTGTTCCCCCAGAATTATGGTCCCATGTGCCTTTGATTAAGTATATATAATAAGGAAAATAATCATAATTATTAGGTCACTTTATAAATCAATGGAGAGTAGAAGCATGTTTGGCTAGTACCTATATAACATATACACTAGATATGGTATATTACATTCACCCTAAATTCATTTCTCTATGCATGTAGCCATTCAGATTATAGACTATTGGGAAAATAACAAAGTAACAATGGTTGGACTTGATGATTGGACTCGATAACAAAAATGGACTCGATGGCCTTTTATTTAGATATGAACTCACACAAATCATATACCACATTAAAGCTAAATAATTCTAACTCTATAATTTTGGATCTTTAAATTTAAATTGAATTATTTTAAAGCAGTTTAATAGTGTACAATATAAGTTTACAGTTTCCCCAACAATTCTAAATTATGAAAGACTACTTTTTCTTTGGTTTGATTACTCCTGGCACAATTATATGAAAAAGTCTGGTGTCAAACTATGACAACATTGGCCTTTACTTAATTGCAATCTTTACTTTACATTTCACCATCATTTAATCGCTTCGGCTTAAATTTCTCTCGACATCTTTTGATAAATGATTTTTTGTGTATATAGTTGTTCCTTTGTTATTGATTTCACTTGGCACATTGAAGCTTGAGGGATGTTTTGCTAATTTGCAAAACACTAAAATTATTATTTCCTTTCAAATAAACTGTTCTAGATCGACGCCTACTTCAATATTCATATGTTATATGTACAATGTTGGACGAATGTTTTTCAATGTATAAAATATTTACATCTTTATGGAAAGTCAGGATAATCGATGATCCTTGAAAGTCTAACAATGATTCTTGATCAATTCAATTCAAATTAACAATAAATACAAATATGAAATAGTAATGTTATCTGGTATAATATGACAGTTCTTCTGCACTATTGATACAGAAAAATGGTGCACTTATATAACAAATTATCTGTCCATTTGAGTCTGCATGTTTTACAAGAGAGAACTTCCTTACAAAGGATATAAGACAAGTAAAAACATGCTCTCGGATATTTTTATTGCATGAATATCCCGATTCAAAATGTTGAACGAGAGATTTTTAATGGGAAGGAAGGTAAAATCATTGTTAGTTTTTCAATGGTCACTATAACAACAAATATAATTTTTAAAACAAAATGACTTTATATTTCACACATATCACTGTAACATTTAAATCCTATACCATATCTTATGTACTATTTTAAATCTGATGTGTGAACTATAAACTCATTCACTATTTACAGAAGGTGCTAAATGGATGCCCTTTTAGTCTTTAATAAATTTTGTAAAACTGAATTATCGTCATAATTACTATAAATATCATCTTTAGTATGTGGTGATTCTTGATGACCATTGGATGGTCTTCCACTGAGTCTATGTAATGGTAATAAATGGGCAATTTTCCCTGGAGATCGTGTCACTTTATACCGCCTGTTCTTCGTTTTCTTTTCACGCATATTATAACAGGTGCAAGAGCAGACGGACTGTAAATCTGGCTCTTTGAACTCAGGTAGTGCTTCCTCTCTCTGCTCTAGTGAAACAACATTACCATTTGCAGTTATGACATCTCCTTCTAGTCTTACAGCTTGAGCTCTCGCGACGGCCGTCTCAATTTCCTGACGCCGTTCATCCTCTGTATTCATTGTCAAGAATCGCAGCACTAGCAGGTTCATTGCAGCAGAAATAATCGTCAGCCCAAACAGAATAAATACTAGACTGAATGCTACATATTCTGGCTTATTTTGTAATGTATCCTTCTTCTGAAGTGCTACAAAATCTCCAAATCCTATTGTAGTTAGTGTAATAAAGCAATAATAGATGGCATCCAAATATGGCCATTTTTCGTAGCTCCTAAAAGCCGCAGCACCTGCACAACCAACAATAACACTAAGGCTCGATACAACCACTATTAGATTAGTCTGCGATACAGTATCGGAATTCCTAGTGCGTGCACATTTTTTGAGGTTTTTTATAATCCAAGTTACGAATGTATTGAGCCTCTCACCAATACTCTGGAACATGACCAGACATAGGGGAATACCTACTAGAGCATACGCCATACAGAAGACTTTGCCACTGTCTGTCTTAGGTGTACTGTGACCATAACCTGGAAATATAGAATATCAGCTTTATTGAATGTTACTATATGTATTCCTCTGAAGACATGTTTGAATTTACCCAGTTGGTGAAGATTACAATGAATATAAATTTATGAAATTCTGTGGACTTGAAAGTCCCTGGAAATTCAATGTGAATTTTAACAATAAGAGAGATTGCTTTGGTGGGGGGGATAATCTTAATTTTAATCACTTAATTTCTGTGTAATAAACATTAAAGGGGAGATGTCATTATTATATTAAGGGATAATAAGGAAGACTAAACAGTACTGTTAAAATATTCATTAATAGGGGGGATTTGTGATAATCAAGTGGTATTATATTGAACATGGTTAGACTAAGTACATGCACCTTCAAAGTGCTGATGGCACAGCACACTTAAAAAGGTGGATAAATGGTAGAACATTGGGAAGGTAAATCTTCAGGTGAAACAAATTTCCATGAGATTTTTTAGAATTGAGACCTCTTGTGAGTGAACTAATATCTTTGTTAACATAAGTAAGGACAGAAATTTCCAAGTATTAAACGATTAGATTATTGGTGTTCACATTTAACGGTTCACATAACATGCTGTTCTACCTGTCTCTCCCTGAAATATCTCAATCGAGGTCAACATGAACATTAATCGAGGTCACTAGGATATAAAATAGGACAAAAAGTGTTCAAATTTTAATATTCTTGAGATAGAATGCTGTTAAATATTAAATCTATTGTATTGAATGCTAAAGAGATAAACAATTTCTAAACCATCAATCATAGTACAAAAAAAATAACCTATTTCTTATGTAAATGTCATGTCAGCGTGCCCATATTAACTGAATTTGAAAAATGAAATCTATTTTTAATCAAAACATTATCATATCTACAATTACTGATGCATGATGAATAATGTTTGCAGGCGATTAACTGCTCACTTGAAAGTAATATATCAACTCGATATGTGTAAGAAATCATTGACTTGTAAGAAGTTAAGCTATATGATAAATAGGAAGATATTAAATTATGAGATTGACGACCCCCACCAATGTCACTCTAGATCTCTAAACATCGATCGTGCAGTAGAAATATACCGAAGCTTTCAGAAATTGTACGAATATAGGGCAATAATTGACCATGCAATATCCACAAAATTAACTTTTCAATAAAATTTATAAAAATCCAAAGCCTTGAGAAAAATGTAATGAGGGCAATAATTGACCATGCAATTTTCACAAAATGTTTTAACCATTCAATAAAATCCAATAGAATCCAAAGCCTTGAGAAAAATGTAATGAAGGACAATAATTGACCATGCAATTTTCAAAAAATTAAAACAACTTGATGTAAGAGCATTTTCATTCTTAAATATAATCTTAACACAAGTCTGTGCTTCCTAGTACAGCATTGGGTGATAGAAGGGACACATGGTATAATTCATTATAAATAATTCTTTTCTCCAATAAATAATTCATTTCTGCTGCTCTAGGTACTATAATAGCAGCCATGCCTGGTCAATACTGAAATAAAACACTAATTTTATACATATATTTTGGAACATTGTGCAGGTATAAGATTTTAGGGAGTGTCAATTTTATCAAAATGGTGGTGTTTGTGTTTCAATATATTGTCCTTCAATATGAAACGTCGTGCATTTTAATACGTCGAGAAAGATTATATAATTTATAAAGATGAGAAATAAAAATGTTGTAAAAATAAAATAAATATGAACAAATCTATAAAATAATATCCAACTTTGTTTTAAACTTATTTACACCTAGATTTTAACAGATTTGTTCATATTTTGTAAATAATCCTTGTCTAGTGTTAGGTTGTGTAGGGGATGATATTCATTGTGGTAAGGGGCCTGGATACAATGTTGCAGGAGCCCACATTGCATTGCGTGACCAGGGAATCCACATTGCATTGCATGACCTGGGATACCATATTGCATGCACATTTACTTACATTACCTCATTCTGCAGGTGTCCTCCAACCTATATATTAACCATGGTCCAAACATTCACACAATACAAAATCATAAAATAAATACATTTTAATATACACAGTACATACATTTTGTTATTTTGAAAATGTTTTAAAGTAAAGAAAGAGATATATGGTATAATAATTTATAGTTGTATCCTCAATTCAAGATGCAGTTTGATATGGATCGATGAATTTCAATGTGCCAAATTCATTATCGATACTGAATTCAGTTTTTTTCAAGATTGTGAAGTTGAAAAAAATGTTTAGAAGAAGGCCGGATAATTGGGTATTTTGTTAAATATGATTCTATATTATTTTCACTTCGAGTCTATGCTTCTGTATCCCTGGCTTATATGTAGCTTTAATCAACTGAGTATGGTATTCTACATGCAAATTGAAGTATTTTACTTTTTTATAATTAGACATAGGAAATTAAAAGAAATTACAGGATATTAGATTATGGTAATTACTGTATATGACTACAATAAATACATATTTATACATCATTAATGATTGTGTAATTATCACTCTGTGAAAAATGGACTAAAAATTAATAATCTGAAATTGAAAGATTATTTTTTGAAATCTAAATCTTTCTTTAATGCCCAATTTCTGATGAATTATAAAAATATACATTTTTAGGATTCTGCCGGATTCAGTCATTTTCTAAAAATTAGATATCATATTCCACTCAAACTTATTGTGCATATTGTGAATAGTAGAGAATGTACCGAAAATATGTTAAGGTAGGTAAAGTCCCATGGGAAATCGTAATGATTTATTTCTACTTATTATTCATGTCCCACCGCTTACCTTAAGAAAACCAGGAACTTAAAGGGATATTCCTTTTAAGACAGGTAGTGATGTCATCAATTGTTAGTTTGCATAGCCATAAGGCAAGAATGTATGTAAGAAGCACAAAATCAGGTGAATATTCTTTTTCATGAGTGTCTATGATTTGAATCCCTTCACTTAATTTTTATTTTTGCACAGAAAGTAAGAACCTACTCTCTAGTGATTTCGTTCTACTTTCCTATACTGTTATAGGCAAGTTTATAAAAGTCAAGAGTCAATGACATCACTTCCTGTATGAACCTTGAAGAGCACAGTATTTTTAAATGATCAAGTTTGATCATATCAAAACATTTTTCCATTTTTCCAAAATATGGCTTGTATGAAAATGGTTATAGCTATCATACCAAGGGAGGAATAGATTTTCAAGAAATATCTCTTTAATGCTCCAAATCCACGAGAAAATCGATGAGATTCAGCAGAATAAATTGCATAATGAAACGGCCCAGGTAAATCCTTTATTAGATAAATTGTATTGACTACAAAGTTATTTTTCCAGGAATGATATAGTGACACAAAAATTCTCAATTAGACTTTATAGATTCTTATTGTGTTACCTCAACAGCTGAAGCCTGCAATTATAATAGTCCCTTTTGTTTGAAATTTAATTAAAACTCCCTATACATAAAACGATATTGAGAAACATCTTTAATAAATTCTCAGATAAGGAGAGCTTTAATGTTCTTTTCTATTCATAGCATATAATAATAGAAAACATTCCTGACCATGCAATCATTTATTATCCGGGCCAAATTATTTGATTATTAAAGATTGGAGAATGTATTGAAATTCCTTGTGGATAGGCAGCTCGAATGGCTAGTTGATAAAGCATGCTTCCAATTGATTGTATTCCCAAGGGATTTTCAAATACAGTAGTGGTGAATCTGAAATACTTATTGTCTAGTAAACTAAGTTAATTTTATGTTTCTCCCTCCCAGTTGGAAGCAGCCTATTGTTATGCAATATGTTTTCAGAATACCTTATCTTATTTACTGTGGTTGGAATACTTATCCTATTCAATGGGTCTTTTGGGTAATAAACGCAAGTCTATTTGGAATGGAACAGAATTTTTAAGCAATAAATTTTTATCTAGAATCAGTGAAAACAAAAATGTTTTTTATGTTACTTAAATTCTGATAAATAATATTGTTTTTGTCTTAAGGTGACCCAATCAAAAGTAGAAAAAGTATATGTAATCTGACAAAGCCCCACCTTAAAGATTGATTGAACTCATGTCCACGACAAAATTGAGATGATATCACACTAACAACAACGATTTGTCATTGGAAAATGCTTACTCCGAAATGTCACGTAATATAGCTTATTGTTTACAAGATTTATCTATTTTCTGTTAAGATTTATAAGTGAAGTTTGTATTCAATTTGTTATCGCTCTCCCGCATAATATTCTGGGCCATTGGGGATATGATGGTAATAGTTAGTATGATCTTGTATTATGATGTTGTCCATGATAAGGGAATGTCTAGGCTTCATGTGCCATTTGAATAGCATCAATTTTTCACAAAGCCAATTACAAAATCTTCGGAATTGTTCAATAAGTTTTAGGAAATGTGATATTTCAGATGAATATTTGATGCCTGGATCATATTTTTCCTTCTATTAAAGTATATTCATTGCTCATAATATTTAGAACTATTAACAGAACCATGGTCATAAAATATGTGACAGGTTGAAAAATAAATTTAGCTGATTAGTTGATAAAGTTATTTCTATTATCCAAGCAATTTATCTTTGTTGGTTTTCTGATCTCTCTACATTGGATCTTCTTCATTGGTTACAACTGGAGCTGAACAACATGCTATTTTGTTCAACCATGTTGAAAAATAGGTCTCTATCTCAGTATGTTCCTTGTTGAAAATGCATTGCGTCCTTTAGGTCTGAATGGGAGATAAAACTCATTTACTTACTTATTTAATTTTGATGATTGGTTATATTACATGATCTCTATGTTTTTTATGATTTAATGTTAGAACATACTCTACATCATCTGTGAGGTTTACTCTAAGTTTACCACATATAGTGAAAGCAGTATATTGTGGTGCAACGGATCTGTATCAATGTACAGTCTGATGTGTCATTGTATACTCCTAATATCTATTCAATGATCTAGTTCAAGAGCAGATAAACCACATCAGTTGCAGATGAAGGTTGAACAACCTTTTATAAAAACGAGAGGAACAAAAAATGATGAAAAAAATCTTAACAATTACAATTGCGGAGAGAGTCTTGGTTTTTGAACTCATTACTTTTGAATTGTATAAAGTGATAAGGTTTTGTAGTTTTAGTAAGCTTTATTGAGAGAGGTCAGGAGAGAGGTCAGGTTCAGATTTGTCAAACCATCTTAATTCACGAGGTTTCAGTTGCTCCATCTCCAACATGTTATAACCATTTTGGAATTCAATGATGTGTCAGGAATCAGAAAGATTCAGTGGCTAAAGATCTGGGGCTATGTTGTCTCTATGAAAACACTATACTTATATGAACATAAGGAATTAAATTTCTTAGCATCTTTCATGTGATATCATCCCAATGTGAAGAATTCTTTGTTTTTTATCACTGGTCTGGACATGCTTACCCTGCGCACGTCTAGTTATAAACTACCCTCTGCCTAGTATAGACTATATTACAGTTTGGCACCCCCGCCCCAAAGATTGGTGCCTATGACAGCCCGGGTAATAAATCATTTCAAATCTACCACACTGAGCCTTTCTCAACCAATCAGCGAAGTAGAAGGAACACATGCTAAATACGTGCTCATTAACTATGCGGTTATGTCATAGGAAATGACCATATAGAAAGTTGTCCGTATTTCGACGACAAACACTGATTGGCTCGGTGAGATCAGAGATTTATTGTAAACTGAAAGAGTGAAAACAAAGCTCTCTTAAGCTTTTAAGAAGTGAAGTCGAATGAATGCAAAGGGTAGGACACGCTTTTTATTTATAATTTGCAAGTAGCTTTAAGGGGTTTTCTCATATATTTCACACTTAATTATGCAGGTAATATGTTTGTTTTGTGGGTAGGTGTTAAAAGAGTCTGTTGAATATTATCCATTGATTAAATAGTGTCACTTCACATCTCTAAAAGAGGGCTTCGTCTCCCACAATTTCACTGCTGTTTTAGCTGTACATTTATGTTTCAAATATCTTTCACAGTGTTGGGTGGGTGGAGTAGCAATTCACAAAAATATGTGAATTATTTAGTGTACCACATTTTAGTCAACCTCTTACTTGTTTTGTACTTATCTTTTCTGCCAGAAGGCAGGCATGTTGGAAGAAGAATACAAATTATAAATTAAAAAAAGTTATGATTAAGAGATACATTGAATAATAAAGCCTTATTAACCATTTAAATATATACAATAACATTCTTATGAATCGCATATCATTCAAAGGCAAACATGTTTTATTCATATTTTGTTATTTTTTTTATTATTTTATATAAAAATGCATTTGGTCAACAATGTAGCGAAATGTCAAGCATGGTTATACCATGTCTTGGTAAAAGTAAAGGTAACATTATGTGAAAATGTAAATACCATGGAATATACCAAAGCTCAGCCTTGCCCAAGTCGGTCTCTTTTACTTATCTTGATTTCTGTTATGGTAAAATTCAAAATCCGATAAGTAAAAAAGTACTGACTTGGGCAAGGCTAACCAAAGCTTTAAAACTTGCTAAAATTATTTTTCTAATGTAGAAAATACATTATCATCACGCTATATGCAGATGACAGCACTCTGACAAATACATACATGTACCAAGATTATACATATCTGCCCGCATAATTGCTGTACAATTGTTTTATAGCATTGCATACTATAGCCAGAAAGTCATGGCTATTGTAGCAGTTATCTAGTTACGCAACTGATTCCTGATATGCTGACCTCAATTCTCTGGCTCTTATTGATGTATTCCATACATATAGGCTAATTCAGTTATTTACAAGCATCCACCAGCCAAGAGATATTATTCCTGCCAGTGTTATTGTTCTCAAAATTATTGATCATTTGTGTTGTCAGTGCTGCCACCTACATCCTGGTTAGCGTGATTTACAATTCTTGACATGATTTACCTATTCCGATTGGTTAATTTGTACAGACAGGTTTTCATTTATTAAATTGTGTCAAATTAAAATACAAGAATTTTCAATAAAAAATCAATTCCAAAACAACTTCAGTTATTCAAAATATGAATCACTTGATATAATTTTACAATATGTTTAATGTAAACAGCTTTTGTTCCAGTCTATTGAGGGTTTTCTTGATTCATTCTGATTGATGTCACTTGTTATTACAAAACATACAAATAGAAACACTTTTGTGGCATACTTGATTATTCATTCATATGTAATCATTGCTTGCTGAATCAGAATGAGGAAACAGTGAATAATATGAATAAACACAAGTAACCTGTATATACTGTTAACTTTAATAGGCTAAGGTAATTAAAAGAAATGTTTAGCATTTCTGAAATTATGGAAAATAAATTTTGATTCTAGTATATTTCATCTATTTGGACAACAGTATATAATTTATTCTCCAAAATAAGCCATTCTGAGGGTAAAAAACAAATAAATTTAACACCCCATTCCTCTATTTTTCTTCAAAAAGAAAAATAATTCTAAACATAACTCTTAATCAAACTAGCCTCTATGATATGATTCACATGATATAATGTAAAAGCAGATTATACATAATGGTATGTAATCAAACTCCATGTAGGCAAAACAAATTAAATAATAAATGTGTTGTTTTGGTGAAACCTTGGTTAATAGCGTAATCTCAATTAGTAATAAAAAATGGCTGTCATTTTAATTTGTTTATACAATCTAATAATCCGTAATCTAATAATCCATATATGTTGCACATATGGTTATACCAAGTTTAACAAAATTAATTTTTATGTATACATTTAATTGGTGAAAGCTCATCTTGTTGAAATAGAGCAATACCATGGTGATAAAGTGAATATTGAATAAAACAATCTCTAGGTGCAGTGCAAATTCATGAAACATGTTACAATGGAATGTACAATGTAGGATATTCACTAATTAATTTAAGCACTTTAGTATAACAATTGCATTACAATAAACATCAGATAAAGAGAAAATATGCAAATGACCTAGTTAGTTATGCATCGAATTCAACAAAACATAGTGAAATAATGCAAAACTATACATAATGTTTTACTAATTCTGCACTTTACTGATATTCAAATGACTCATCTAATAACAAAAAGCTTCTAATAGGCTCCTTAAATGAGATAATTCTCCCCATTCACTGATATTCTTACTCCCTATTTACTTAAGGTAGACATGATAAGAATGAATTTATATGCTGGCTTTTAGTGACATCACACAAACAGGTCTAACAATAGACACCTTAAAAGACTTTGCCTTCTTTAAAATGAAATATTTGTCTTAATTTAAGATATGTTTTTTCTGTGTTGGAATACACCAGACAGATAACAAAAACAGAGAGCTAATGCTGATATAGATGAATTACATGACCCCTTTTTAATATGATCAAGCGACTGAATCCCTGTGGTTTAGACGCTTTGTAATCTGGTTGCATTCCCCACTCTGGGCTCTCTTTAGGCTTACCATCGACCTTCTATAGGTCAGTAATTACTCCCCTATGAGAATTCCCTTCTTGATATATAGTCTTGAAAATTACAATTTTACTTTAATTTAAGGCAAAGTCATTTTCGAATCCCCTGTAGGGAAAACTGGCAAATTGGACTGGCTTCATCAAGCCTGACTTGTGAGAGTTATATCTAATTCCTCACATGTTTGCACACATGTTGCTTTATATTCAAATGAATGAATATGGCATCATTTCTTTCAAGATATGTGTCTCTCATGATCAGCATAATGTGTGTTCAGCTTGATCCAGCAATTCAAACATATATTTGTTTTCTATTGTTATACTGTCAGTGTGATGTCAATGTGATCCCAGTAAAGCTTAGCAATTGTTTCAAACATCAAGCCTTCCATTATATTCAATATTTTAATGACCAGGATCTGGATATGTGTGAATTACCATACCATAACAGGATGGACAATAAAATAGCATTGTTAATGCCCATATATGGTGATACGAGGATGTCTATAAAACTGATGAATAATGCTCGAAACGGGTGGTCTAAATATCATCCTGTTGTATGTATATAATGTAATTAATTTAGTTTAAATTAGATTAAAATATGACATGATGTGATATATAAAGGGTGTAATGAATATGTTGAGAATATTCTCTTCATGTAAACCCACACGTCATTAAATCTACATTCCATAAAACCCACATTCATTTAACTTCACCCGCAAGGAAAATATTTGAGAAAATTATCTTAATTAATTTTGAAAGAAATATCAATTTGGAATTTACCATTTCCTAAATGAACTTATTTGTGTAACCTATGTAAAAGATAAGGTATTTGCTTATATAAATACAATTCAAATTTATTTGCCATTGTTTGCTGAAGCCTTTGTTAGAAATAACTTGTTCTACCTTTTACTTAACATGCCTTGAAATATGTTTGTATGTGGTCTAACGAGATGAGATGACCTGGTCACATACTTTCACCTTTCAAGGCTCATTCTTTTAATAATGATAAAATTACATGACATTCAGTAGAAAAATTTCTACCATCATAACAAGAAAATATTTACATACTTTTTACATTAACAAAGATTTATTACAGCAGTTCAAATACATTTTCATTTTCAACAATTTGCTAAAAATGAAAAACTATGTTAGCCATGACAACCCAATTCTAAACCAGTAGCTGAATGAGAGAAAATCTAGATATGATATTGATGGATTTCTTCATCTAAAAAAGTAATGTTTCACCAACTAGTTGTTAATTGAGACAAATTATCAAAATTATAAGGATCCCAATAAGAGATTCATCAAGTTTTAGTAATGGAAAAATAATCATTCCATATTATCTCAGGATAAAATATGTGAACTTGTGGTACCCTCTCCAGACTTTGTGTCACTATAAATCATCGAGAAGATCATAATATGAAAAATTTAATCCCCTGTTTCGTCTCGAAAATTATTTTTGTAACTGGTATTGATGTTAGCTTTTATAATAGGATTGCGACTGGATCAGAAATGGGTGTCATGACTTTTTGCAGAAATGCAATTTGATGACAGAACTAAGTTATGGAAGTTGTCATAATTTCACATTGGTCTACTAAGGAAGCACTTCCAAGACCATATATGGTCACATTGAAATATCATACATAATGGTCACATGGATAGACATAGTGTATACTATTGTATACTGGAATTAATAGTATTTATGATCTTGATATAAGTGGACATGAATACCATTCATGGTCATGGATACAATGGTCATGAATAGAACACATTGTCATGAATATTCTCTATGGTCATAAATATACAGTAATCAATATTTTACATTGCCATGAATACTTTATATGATCATGAAAACTTCATATGGTCATGAATGGTCCATATTATCATGAATACTCTGTATGGCCATAAATACTTAACATGGTCATCAATATTACATTGTCATAAATACTGTGGATGAACATGAATACTTTATATGGTCATAAATACTATGCATGGTCATGAATACTCTAAATGGTCAAGAATACTAAATTGGTCATGAATCATATATATAATCAAAAATACTAGACATGGTCATTAATACTAAACATGGCCATACATGTTTCAGATTGACCATATATGGCCTTAAAATAGTCATGAATGCTTGTATTGTTTGTGAATGCTTTATATGATCATAAATATCTGATACCAATGCATAATATATAAGGTCATATTGATGCTCTTTTGGATTGAAGGTAGTGTTGACTGAGAAGAGATTCAGTTTGTTCTATTTGAACCTGTGTCTGCATTTGTTTCTGATGCTCACTTTCATTTATGGTCTTTAGCTGCAATAGATGGCCTATCCTGCCTGGTGATCTCGTTACTTTGTATCTCGTTGCTTTTGATTTTGAATTATTTTTCCTGTGTTTTTTCCTGGTGTTATCTAAACTATTAGAGGAACTATGTCCTAGGTTGTAGCATGAACAGGAACAAACCGAATGTAAATCAGGTTCTTGGAAGTCTACCTGGGTCTCATGTAAACGTGCAGTAATCATTGACCCGTTTGATAATATTACATCACCATCTAGTTTGACGGCATTGGCTCTGGCATTAGCTGCTTCAATCTCCTCACGTCGTTCATCTTCAGTGTTCATGGTAAGGAATCTCAACACTAGAAGGTTCATAGCAGCAGATATAATGCTTAGTCCAAAAAGGATAAATATCAAAGTAAATGCCACATATTCTGGCTTTGATTGGAGATGTCCATCTTTCTGTATGGCTACATAATCTCCAAACCCTATCGTGGTTAATGTGATAAAACAATAATAGATGGAGTCAAGGTATGGCCATTTTTCATAATTGCTGAACGCAGCGGCACCCGCTGTCACGACTAATACGCTGAGATTTGACACAATGATTATCAAATTAGTTTGAGATACTTCAGTCTTCTTCATTCTGGCACATTTCTTTAAGACTTTGAGCAACAAAGTCACGAATGTATTAAGACGTTCTCCTATAGATTGGAACATGACTATCCCAAGTGGTATCCCTACCAGTGCATAAGCCATGCAGAATATTTTCCCGGCATCGGTTTTTGGTGTACTGTGTCCATAGCCTGGAAATAAATCGTGCGGCACGTTCAAAAGCAAGAAGGTGTCTACTCACTACAAATGTATTCAGATTGCAAAAAATCATCAAATAAAATTGACATACACAGAAAGACATGGAAGGGACATATACAAGAAGGGGTTATTCTAGCATGATAGCAGCATATTTAAGTTTCTATAGAAGACTATAGAAGGTGTACATTTATACTGAAGGGATTTGTACTTATCATTCAATATAAATACACTTTAATTGTTATACAATTCAGTGATCATTTCATTGATTCAGATTTAGCTATTATAATTAAAAAAACGTTTAATAAAGTACTTAGAATAGGATGGGTGCTTCTATATATTCTACATTTTAAAAACTCAATGCCTCTATTGCAGATATCTATTGCTAATGTAGTATCCAGAAAAATATTTTTACTATTTTTTTTAATATGTCTAGTGCACCATGGAACAATTGTTTCAGCATCTATCATTTAAACAGAGATTATTCTTAAAAGTATAAGTTACTAATTATAGTTCTAAATCATGCATTATAATTTATCTGACTAGATGACGCTATATTAATCTCTACCGGCTCCTACCATCATATACTAATATTTTATATACATGTTATTGTTATTCACACATACCTAAAATGATATTTAGTTATATCTACCAAAGCAGTATTATATTATTATTATTAATTTCTTACATCAATGCGAATCTGTTTTAGAAAATGTAAAAAATTATCCTTTGGTTAATTGTAGGCAGCATAAGATTCGTAACTATGCTGTATACTATGTCTGTGTATGAGACCATACAGGGAGCTTGATAAAAGGAAAGGAAAGTTCAGTTTCATTGGGCACTAAACATCAAATATTTATGAAACATCCAGGGACGTTATAGTTAACAGAGCTATATGAATGAAAAATCGGCTTTCTAAATTCAAGGGTGAATGCAATAAGGGTGTTTAATCTCAAATGTATCGAAAAATAATGTCTAAATAATTCATATAAAATCATTGTTCATAAATCAGAACGATAACTGGTTTATGTTTTATAAAAAGTCATCAATTATAAAATTTTAACTGATTTTTGTCATAATTTATCTTATGCTTACAGTATATTTAGTAAAGTAATGGATTGGCACACATGAAAAAAGAACAACTAGCCCAAATTGATAAAAATGTATTTAGCATTAATACCAAATAATTTCCTAAACCTAGAAATTTCCTAATATGAGTGCTGTATTTATATATGAAAAAAACGTCTTCGCAGTTATTTAGTGATCTGTATCAAAGCGAGCGATTATGTAATACATGAAGTGTGAATATTGATAAAAGAGAATTTGGCCTAAAATAGGTGATATTGTTCTCCCATCTATATGTGTTATATGATTAGATCCAGAATATAATGATTATGTAATAGCATGTGGAATGTTCATAAAGGGAGGATAATAACAAGTCACAAGAAATGAGGATAAAAAGAACTGAAGTCAATGCACCTAACTTGGTTCACCCAGAACAAATAGCCTATCCAGGGTCCTAAGAGAGCCAGAGAGGTAAAGATAACCATATATCACACAGGCCTATTAGGCTAAAGCTCATTAAGAAGGATTTTATTGTTTTCTTTATGTAAACACCCAGCACAATCTGCGTCTAGCAGGAAGAAATGACATTTCAGTGAGAAAAGGTTCATTACCAAAATTAACATGGTTTAGTGGGGAACCACTTGAGATGAGGCTTAATGTGTGAACATTAAAGTTACACTTCTGAGTCTAACCTTGATGAACATTGAAACTGATGCAATTTCAGCCCTTTGAGATTCAAGTAAAAATAGAAATGTCAAAAAGCCCATTAATTGAGCAATTACATGTAATATATAGGACTTAGAGATGCAATATTTTGCTTCTTTTATTAGCAGAAAGTATGCGAGGCTGTAATTTACTTTATGTTTCAAAATGATTGTTTTAGTGATATATTATGAACACATGTCATAACTGTGTAGACGTCTTGTTAACATGTTTTACCACCCATCTCATCACTACATGAACATCAACGCTGGATAATATTAGTAAGGTTATGCTCCAAAATAGTCTCAACTATGAGGCGAACATTTTTCTGTTAACGATCTACGTCATACATAAATGTTATTTTATAAATATCTAAAGTCAACAGGAGGGTTCGTGCCAGAAAGATCATCTTTCTAAGCATCATCATGTATTGTATGTATTGCATAATGCACTATATATTGTATATATTATATAGAGCAGTAATGCATTATGGTATTATAGAAGCAATATCTTGTATCGTAATCAATATGGGAATCTTTAAAGGTTTCCTGGAAATATCCAAAAGGCTATATCCAAGATTAAATGTCATAGAATTCACAGTTTTGAGTTTTTGTGGCCATTTTTCACCTGACATTTAAATATGAAACAAATGACAACAGGAACTTAAGTTCTAACCTAACATTTATTTCGAGCTATTTTTTGTTAAGTTTATTTTTTGCAGAATAATATTTACTTACTGGCAGCTGGCAGATGCATTGGTTTTGTTGAAAAATGAAAACAAAGTAGCAAGGTGTAACTTATATTAAATGATATGTCATTTTATCTTCAAATATGAGTGACTTTGGAGAAACTAAGGAAATAACTTATATTGGGAATGCAAATCTGAATCTTTAACTATGTATGGCATGGTATTATTTTGAAGAAAAATATAAGATGCATTGGATGATTATTTGTATAAAATATAGAGGAAAAGATATATGAGTTTGATACATGTATGTATATTTTTCATAGTATGTTGTGTGTATAATGGACATTTCAATGATGGGGAGCGGATGTTCATTGTTTGGGATGTTGAAATTTTTCCCCTTAACCCTTTTTTGCTTTGAATTGCTATAAACTGTGTTTTTATTACACTTTTAGTCTTCTTCCTTTCAGCACATGTGCATCTAATACATATTTTATCTGGCATTGGAATGAAAACATGTATATCCTAGGATTGCTCAATGCAGGTCCTATGAGGCCTCTACCTGGCCACAGTTTTTACTTTTTAGAGAAGTTATCAGTTTTGTGAACTGGTGAATTTCATGAAATTTTAAATCATTCATTGACGTTTAAACTATTTGTTGTGAACTTCAGATGTCTGTAATTTGACTGAACATCCATGTACACCAATCACATTTTTTCTTTTGTTAATTCATGGATTAGATTACTTTTAGAGTTATTGGCGATGTAATGTGACCTTTGTTCAGTATATGCATGACATTTGGGATTATTGCAGTCCTATTGTCCTTTTATCTAATGACATTTATAAGGGAATTAATCCTATCCTTTTCCATGTTTCCCCTATATGCACTTATTGTTTTCTACAGATTATTATCAACCATGAATTGAATGATTATCTCCTCTCTCTCTGTGGCCTCAGTGAGCTAATAGCTCGTGGGTTTCATTCAATATATCAGGACATTACTTTAAGGTATATTCACCAGGCATGCACCTTTGTGTTTACCTTGGCATTCACCTGGCTGTTCATCTGACGTCATCAATTGTCACCTTCTTAACAATGTGACACACACAATTCACAATGCTTTGAAGAAATATATCATCAAGAAATCAATTTAAGAATGATTAGAAGATAATGCTTACTACAAGGATGTTTTTGTTGTTGTATATTTATTGAATAGATACTCAGCATTTGTTGTCAGGTCTTTTGTTCAAATTGTAATAAGAGCTTTGCTCTGATTCATACATTATGTAGTATCACATTCTCCGTGGCAGTGCTAGCCTTCAACATACCACTGCAGCAGGAAATCTTTCACCGTGCGCATGGTGACTTCACATAAATAATTGGTTGCACTGCCCGTATTAACTAATAGCCACATGTGCGGTAAACTTTTATCAGCAAAATTATAACTAAAATTCCTTCAATGGATATTTCTTCTTATAGTGTATTATATTTCATTATATGACAAAATACATTAAGTAACTTAAAAGAATACATATGTAACATGTTATCAGAAAATAAATCTATGATGAAAAGGGACTATTTTCAACAAATTTCTCCATTTAAGGAGAAATGGTTTGTTACGCATGTGTGATGAATGTTTCAGTGCCAACAACGGTAAGTTAATTAATATTAAAAAAAAGATCTGACACTTCTATCTGATGCTGCTGAGGACATAATACAACAATGTAAATTAATAAAATGACACAGTTGTCTGACACGCATATCTGACATATCTTTGGGATGATGCTGTACCTGCTTTAAATACAGTAAAACTTGTGTATATTGAACTTTTTTTGGTGAGAAAGGACAATAACGTCATTTCTGCGGGCAATATAGTGAAATATTGGACCAAGGGCCTGAGAGCCGAAGGTCCAATATTTCACAATATTGCCCGCAGAAATGACGTTATTAGTATTATTACCACCTTTAATGACCAGGGCTGAAATAGCAAGAAAATCTTATGCACTGAACGATATCTAATTTCCCGGGGAAAATTGCCGGTCGTTTATTGCATTATTGACCGTCAATATGGCCCGCCACTATGACGTCACATACTGCTCAAGTCGATATAGTAAAATAAATGCCTTCTAATGAAACTTGCACTAATACCCCTAGAACAGGCCCGATAAGGTGGTAATAATGTTCATTGTTAGTAGGTTTTCACTATGGAGAGGGTAATTTATCCAGCAGTCGACAGTAGAGTATGTCCACTGGAGAAAGGTATTCATTAGAGAGAGGTGTTTACTAAGACGGGTTTTACTGTATATTGAACATTTCTTTGCCGAGAAAAATGTTCAATGTTGGTAAATATATGAACATACATTTTCAATTAAAAAATGTTTAAATATCTGAGTTTTGAAACTAATAATACATGCAGGGCGAAATGTAAGGAAATTAAAACAAGATTTTCAAAATCAGCCATAGCCAAGTATTTCTATCATTGCTCAATAAGATATTGTCAGATTAATGAAAATCTAATTTGACCTTAGAAAAATTGTTCATGTA